TGAATCTGTAAATAGTAAAATTTAATAATTATTATATTTATCATTGGGATGAACATAGAAATTTTCTTTTTTTTTAGTTTATAGACAGTTGTTTACATTTATTATTGTTATTATTATTATTATTATTATTATTATTCACTAATAAATAATAGGCTGCATTGATCAATCAGAACTGCAAAACTGCGTGCGGATTGATCCAGGGTGGTTGGTCACCAGCTGGAAGTTCGGATTTGTTTTCGATCCTCGGCTGCATGACCTCCAGCCTTCTTGTACTTGTGCTTTTCCACTTTGTATTCTACTGTAGTTGTTTACGGAGAACTGAGACCATCGTCTTTCCTAAATTAAATAACCCGCCCTCTCTCAAATCGCCCCCACCCCCCTCAAATGCATTTGAAATAAACACATGTAAGCCCCCCGGGGGGGGACAGTATTAGCGTACGGATACTGTTCCAGCTCACCTTGTCAGTCCACATTTCTGACACAACTTTGTGTTCATCGCTCTCGAGGAGTTTCTGTATAAAAAAAAAAGAACTGCAATCTAAGCAGAGCTCTGGCCAACCTACAAGGGCGCCTCAAGGAAAATGATGCCTGGTTGCCGGTAGATATAAAAACTACAATAGCGTTTTAAAACAGAACTTGCCAAAAAAAAAATGGAATTATTTTTTATGTAGGTGTGCTTCGTCTCAGTGCATTATAGCAGAAAACACCAAGATAGCGACACACCATTAATATTGCAGCTTATAATCCACAAACACGGTACAAAACGACACAGTTTGATGCAGAAGCTGCTTTCAACGACCAAAAAAGGTGACAAATTACACTGTAACAGTGAAATGTTAGGGGGTACCAGTTAATTCCTACATAAGCATGTCGAGATCGTCACTACTAGGAAAAGCAAAACATACATGTTACCTCGCTGAAAAAGAAGTTTATATGTCGAATAGAAACCTTAAAATACCATAAAACCGAAGTTACCTTTGCATGGAGTACAATTTTGTAAAGATTTTCCTGTTTCATCTCCTTGCTCGATGAGAGGTCCTTCATTGTACTAATCAATCTCTGTTCACAAACCTCTCTTACTGACGAAGTCAAAGGTAACTAGTGATGATAAAGAGGAATTAACAAACAACTAACCAAAATACAGCTGTAGGTTATCTAGACACACACTTGAATAATTGAGATAATTACTGATTGGAGATAGAGTGGTTTTCGTTTGAGTGTCGTAAAACCAAAACCAAAGTAATTACTCTGGCCAATCACATAGGACACAGACAATACATTGAACCAATCAAAACTCGAAGTAATTACATGTGGCTGACGCAAAGCGCGGGAAAATGCATGCGAGCGCGTCACAATTGGCTTTGGTTTTACTTCTGATTGGATGAAAAGGTGGCGCGAATCTTTTAAGCCAATCGCATCGTGTAGAAAGTGCAAAACCAATTACTTCTCGACACTCAAATGAAAACCGCTCTATCACCAATTTGGCCTAGTATTTGGTGAAACACGGTGGCAATATGAGGATTTTGGGTTAATGTTTTATTTAACCTAGGTTGATTCTCAATTTCCTTTGTCTCTGGGGCCTAATTCATGAATAATTAGGGCTACAAGACAAAGGAAAGTGAGAATCAACCTAGGTTAAAAAAAATTAACCTGAAATTCAATTTGACCTTTAATATAACACACTCCCGAAAAAATTATGATTTTGTTTCGAGAATTAAAGAATAAAATGTACATCCTAGTGAGGTAACGCACATCCTTCAAAACAGGTCTTCCTCAATAAACTAACGTGGTTGGGTAAAATAAGTTGGAGTACTTACTTTATCACTGCCTTCAATTGGCTGGAAATATGCATGTTCAATAAAGAAAAACAACACTTCTTGCACCCAGTTGCCCTTGTGTGAAAGGTTCTTTTTCTTTACCAACTGGAAAAGCTATAGGATATGATACAAAAAGTACCAAAAAAGAGTTACAAAAGGAGTCAAATGCTTTGTCAGGTTATGGCTACAATATACAAGATACTCCTTCTTTATATGAACACCTTTTCAAATTGCCATGAATTAAGACGTTTTCATGTCACGGACGATGTGTTTGAGTCAGTTAAACTACATTGTCATTTCATAAACATACCTGGTTCAACACTGCAATTCTTGTCAATTCTTCATTCTTTTCTGGTCTGGACCTAGAGCACGTACATAATGATTAATTGGCAATCTGATGTCGCCGTTTTACATTCAATACCTTTCTCAGAAGAGGAATGTACAGCAGTATCATCGATTAAAAATAATGTTATCTTTTCTGTCACCGTGCCTTCATATGGCACCTTACCACAACCAGGGTTATTCTCAATTTAAAACCACAATAATGTAACAGAATACCTTAAGTTAAGTGAACTACAACAAATGACACGAAAACCACTACTTCACAGTCCAAGGGAACAAAACAAAAAAAAAATTCAACTTAGTAGGGCTATGAGTTGACCATGCCCCAGATAACCAGCTACTTGATTTAATATATTGAATACTAAAATTTCCACATCCTTACCCTACATAAAATTATAGGTGTTGTTAAACAGAAAGCAACACAATGTGAGATTAGACGAGGAACGAGATATAGAAGTAGATAACAAATAATACAAATCTATAATAAAAAACTGGCCAGCTATCTGCAATTAAAAGAAATTGAATTTGCCATTTTCTTACTCTGATTCTCCAGAATTGCCCAAAGCTCCCTGTTCAAAAACCTCAAAGAGCCATGAAACAAATGCATCAGCTCCTGATCCTTGTAGCTAAAGAAAGAAGAGAAAACAATTATTTTTTTCTTTCCACTACTGTCCTCTTTTCTGATATCTTCTTATTAGGGCTTGAAAAAGTCCCGTCTGGTAGTCTAGGACATGTAGATTTTGCTGCTGGACAGTCAAATAACTTTAAAAGCTTACTTGCTGATTGGGAAAAGGTCATGGCAAGACATCTTCTAACTAAAGTCATTAACTAAAATGAGCAAGTAGTGGCTTCAGTCCAGTAAAATGTGAGAGCTTCTTGCCCAAAGGACAAGCTGGAATTCTATTTTTTTTTTTCCGAGCCCTGATTACAGTTGCTGTTTTCAGTTCTTGACATCTGTTTGCTGTTTTTTGTTTCGTGACTCCATTTCCTGTTTCTGTTTTTTACTTCATGTTCCCTGTACAGTGGAACCTCAATGTAACAAACCTCTATATAACAAACCATTTTCTTTGCCCCAGTAATAGTAAATATATATAAATTATTTCTGAAGAGTGACGTCCTAATTTATGATGTATGATAACTGTATTAAGGTTTGACTGGGAAGGCACAATCAATTTTTGTAATTTTGAGGAAAAACAATTTCTTTTGCAAATGCGTTCCACACTTTGCTAAATTCCAAATGATCAATTACACAGCAGTAAACATTCTTCCTCCTTTCTTAGGGATACTTGAATTGAACCTTCCACGTAGTTAAATGAATTAGAGTGCTGTTCTTAACTAGGTAAAGGGGGTCGGTACAGAACAGCCAAGTCAGGGCATGATGCATCTCCTTAAAATTTTGAATGAACTAAGAAATTTGGGCAAAATGTTTTCTTACAGTACTTTCTTGTCATGGTTGAGTAAGATCAGCCAAAAAACCACAAATGGCAGGTAAACACAGGATTTAGCTGATTAAATAGTGGTACTCACAGCTCCAAGCATATTTTCCACAGTTTTTGTTTTGGTAAGTTTGTCAAACTGCATATTTCCATGTCTGAAAAAAGAGGGCAGAATCACTGTCCTAGATAAGATATATTAAAAACTGGAAAATAAATACAGATTTTTACCTGGCAATTATACAGGTTTATTTGAAAACCACCTTCATTTGCATAATTACAGAAGAGGAAAAAGGCAGTTATATATTAACGTTTCTGCAATATTAATCCTTTAAGTCCTAAGAGTGACCAACATCAGTTTTCTCCTCACAATGTCAATACATTAGCAAAAGTAAAGGTTACGAGATTTAATAAAATGATCATCTCAGGGAAAATGCCTTGATGTCTTATCAAATTCTCTCAACTAATTCTTAAGGAAACGTATGGAGGTCAGTTTGGAGAATTTTTCAGTGGATACCAGGGCTTAAAGGGTTAACAGCTAACTGCACTTCAAAAGTACAATTCTGGGGACGTTCCCTTATAATCTGCAGGGCTTGGTTGTTAAAAAGTTTGATAACACTATCCACAAGATAAATCTCTATCAGCGGATAGCACAATAAATTATTGGTTTTCCGTAATATACAATCATGTTCTTATCCACTGGATAGTCTTTTATCCAGTGGGTAGCACTATCCTCCATTTCATGAACAATCAAGACCATGATTATTGTTGCCAATTCATAATCTGGCGAGTCATGAGTCGTAAGCATCATCACCTGCATGATCACTATTTTATTTAAGAATAATATTAATAATTATTTTCAGTGTACCTTCCAAGAAGCTGCTGTAACACTAGGCTAGGTACTTCAGGGTATCTGTTTTGATTTACCAGCACAGGAAGACTCGAAGCCTGCAAAGCAAATTGCAGCTGATAATACATTGTAGTGGAAATACAGGTTTGGATCCTACAATAGTTTAATGTCAAATCTTTGTACAAACAATGCAATGTTCCATACATTTACCCAAGACAATGATTATCCATAATTATCTACTACATGTATCTCCAATTTTGCCCAACCCAACCCAGAGGTTTCACTAGAAGCACTAGGACCAGAGTAAGAGCATCAGAGTGCTCAGTTTCTAGCTCCGACTCAAAGCACAGTTCCCAATAGCCTCCCAGGCACACAGAAGCTCTTAGAGCTTCATGTTCCTTATCCACATTAAGGGGGGGGGGGGGGGGGGGGGAAACCAAAAAAAAAAAGAAACGGGCAAGGGAGGGAAAAAACCAAACAAAACCTCCAACACCCCCCACCCTGGGGAAAAAACTTTCAAGGGAGAACCCCCCCCTCTGGGATCTCCCCCACCCCCCCCCAGACAAACGGGAAGAGGGGAAAAAAAGA